GCCAAATAATGTTTTATTAAAAAATGAGCTTAATCAGGAATAAATAACATTTAGCTAATTGATTCTTTACCCTCTCCAAAAGAGCTTGTAGATAGTAAAGATGGAGATTCCCATGACTTTTGGTCATAATTTGGTCATCAAAATGTAATGAGCAAATGAGAAAACACATGAAAATAACTGCAATATTAGTGTTTAAACTTTTAATGAAATCAAGCTTGTTATAGCTTTATAAACAACAGCTCAGACATGTTACTATACAGTCTATCTTTTTCCCTCTGTCTTTACTTAACAGTAAAAACACATTAAATGATAGAACTAATCAAAAAACATATTCTTTAACTGGATAATCTGTCCCTAACTTTGCCAGAACTTGTGACTCTGCCCATTTAGTAACATAAATATAATCATAGCAGCCCTTGATATAAATCAGTCTAAAACGCTTGGTTAAAAAATGTTTTTTGTTTTTTCTTCTTTAATCATCCTTGGAGTTGACCATGTGCAGGTAAAGTTGTAGTGCATCCACAGTCTGGATGTGACAGCTTGCAAAGACCTATCACCTCTCGTCCTAAAACGGGTTCGATGGACCATTAACAAGTTCTTTACAGCAGATCTCAGACAGCAGAATGGTGAGGCTGAATCAAGTCACACATGGACAGAGGAAGCCTGTCCATGCAAGGCTCTAAAGGTCAGGAACAGAATTTTTAAAGTATAAGCAGTGTTCAATGGGAAGCCAATGTAGAGATTTTAGGACAGGAGTTATGTGAGATCTGGTTATACGTGTCAATATCCTTGCTGCAGAATTTTGCACTAGCTGCAGTCAAGCTAGGCCTTTTTTGTTCAGACAAGGGAGCATTGCAGTAGTCCAAACATGATGATACAAATAAATGGAGCAGCATCTCAAGGTAATTTTCAGAAACTAAATTTCCTAGCAAAACTGCATGATCTACACACGTAAACATGGTTAAGAGGAAACACGGTCCTGAATATCCAAAAATTGTTATCCTGGTTTATGGCCCAACACTAGTAACTGCTAAGATACTGAGAATAACCCTTAATAGCTTAATATGAAGAAGCCAACCCACGTTTCCCAGGAGTATGAGGGGTATATGAGAGAAGCAGGTTTTTTTTTTTGTTTTAACTATATATTATTAATATACTACTGAATATATTGTTCTTGTTAAAAAATGTTATTCAAAGCTATTTATAGTTAAGGCTGCAGCTTAATGTTTAGCACAACAGTGAGTATTAAACTTGTTTAAAAGGAAAAAAAAAATCAGGATCAGCAAAAATTAAGAAATAGCCAAATTTTCTCATTCAGTGACTGATTAAGATGCTTTAGATTTTAAACTATTTGATATACATTTTTCTAAAACTTATATTTTAGTTTTTTCCAATTCTTCTTTTAAGTTAAAAGCCAAAGAAATTTTCAAAGTTGTTTCAAGGTGAAACAAACCATATGCCACTTCATGCAATGACTACACCTTTTTTAATTATATTTTGCTTTTTACATTGTAGAGGACACACTGACTAAAGCTGAGAGTGTTAGGTGCTGAGCTAAGCAAGATTCATTGTCAAGCTGAAAGACTTCAGGAATTTCAATCGTTGGATTGAGGCCAGATGACGTGACCGAAATAAAGGGCATTGTGTAGTATTTTTAGGAAATTTGAGAGACATTTGTTTAACCTGACAGTAGGATTTGATGTTAATTATAGAATGTTAAAAATAGAAATATTTATAAAAAAAACAAACAAACAGAGGGCTACATTTATCCAAGAAGAAGCAAAACCCAAAAGTGTTTAACTTTTTCATAAAGAAAAACAATAAAAACAAAAACAAATGTTATTACTGCATTAACTTTATATGAAAGCAGGTCATAAATCCTAAAAAATATGAGTAATGTTAATAAGAAGTTTTAGTTTTTAATATTAAAGTCTTTATTATGTAAACAAAACACATAAGCCACAACACCATAATTTTACCACTGGGTGGTGCAATATAACAGAGAATGACAAAGGAAGGTGCAGTCTACTTTCAGACTATAAAAGGCAAAAATTCATCAATTGAAATCCATGTAATCTACTTGAAGGTGTAAAATTTGAAATGTTGAAAATAACTAAACCTCCTTTGAACTGTTCAACATCTACTCGAACGTAACAGAACAGTTTGATTTAGTCAAAAAACGTGAATACGGTATTAAACCACAAACAAGCATCAGAAGTTTATCCTTATTTTTGATTATTTATGAATATCAATTGAGATTGTGAATGTTTTTTAGCATTGGTTTTGTTTAGCCTTCTATGCATTTTATGTTTTTTAGATGAACTGGTATAATGTGATCACTGAACTGTAGTATTTCTGCTTGTCTTATTAAAATTCACTGCAAAATTTAAAAAAGGGTCTGTATTTTTGCTTTTTAAGTCATTATACAATAAGACCCAGGCAGAAATTGGCTAAGAGGTGTTTTGTCTCTTTCTTCTTTACAGTAAAATAGTTATCACCAACTCTTTAAGGTTAGGATTCATCCAAATATTTCAGAAACACAAGCACAATGTCATTTCTAAAACCTAGTTGTAAGTCATATTCAATTACATTCTTATGTAATTTAATTATTCTTTTTTTCTAAGCATGACTTGCCATTTGTGTGTATACTCTTAAAATTATGACTTGTTAAAAATGGATAAAACTCCCCTAATTTTAGATCGAATGTGCCAGTTTACAATGCATTCAATGTAAAAAAGAAAGTTTATCAAATCCTTAATTTCTTTGATGGCCCAGAAGGAACTATACAAGCTGGGTGGTTTGTAGGCAAGGTTGGGAGCTTTGGTAGCCAATTATTTTTCTAGATGGATAATCTGAATTAAGGGACCGGAAATATCACTTCATCGGCAGGTAAGGAGCCAGAGGTGTTGTGTGAGGTATAATGGTAACTGCTAAGAAAGGTTCATCCTTGTTTAAAAACTTTGAGACGGGCTGGACTCTGTCCAAGAGATGCCCAGGGAGAGATGCATCAGATATCGATGGGGATAGTCATAGACCCATGACTAAATTCCCCACATTCAAAGTTTTCTCCATTAACGAAGAGGGTTTTCTTTTTTGCGTTTTCGGGTCACAAGAATACAGGTTCTGAATTTTGTCGTAGAGTCGGCTTTGCTTCGCCCTCGGAATTGTCCTGACTTCCTTCGCTGTTCGGATCTGATCTCCTGCCTGTTCTCCGGTCTCCGGGCTTTAACGTCTGGGACTCTGGGCAGCGTGTTGTTGTCGGCCGACCAGCTGGAACCAACCTCATCCTCTGGGCATGCGCTGAACTTTAAGGCCAGGTTAGTGACTCACATGTTCATAATCTTCCTCTGCAAGATTGACGTGGTCACTAACCCGTGTTTCCCTCTTGTAGAGGTTCCTGCTGTTGACTCCCTCACTGTTTACTGCAGATCCATTTTTCTTAATAGACGTTTTGTGAGATATCAAACTGTCTGATTTGAAAACTGGGTCTTCTGCTCTGGGCCAAGACACTTTGCACATTTAAATTTTATTACTAGCTGCCCTAATCCTCAAAAAGCTTAACTCAGCCGCTGCATATAAAGGAAAACCAGGTGACAAACATTTTCTTTAAAGCAAAACACAAATCCATTTATGGGGTCATATTGGCAAAGAGAAAGACATTGAATACAAAAATAGCAGAGTGTTGTTTGTTTTTACAAAGGCCTTACATAAAATACCTTAGATTTTCCTACTTTATTTCTACTGCATGTGGCTACATGTAGTAGTAACCACTAAAGGTGAAACCTAATGTGTTTAGTTGAAGAAACATCCCATTTTTTCTCAGTTTCAGCAAGTGATATACAGTCCCACTTGGTATTATCTCTTTAATCACAGCTATCCACATAATTAACAGCGCAACCAAGCCCTCTAAATATTACAAATATATTACTATTGCTATCAAAATCAAACAGGATATTCTTTAGATAATTTAATATGCTATGAAGACCTGCCAGGGTAAAGCTCAGTGAGGTCAGTTTAACCTAATATGACAAAAAATTGATTAGCAATATAACATTTAAGGCCTAAGCATTTATTTTTTCTTAGTTGCAAATGGAATACGGTAATAAAATATGCACCTGGATAAATTCAATTAACAAAGGAGATCAGTAAAAATAATCATTTGTGGAACTTTACAACAAAAAAAGAGACTGATCGAACCTGTGTCTGAATTAGCTTGTTTTTATGAAACAGAGGTGTGCTAACTTTTAATACATCTCTCATATAAAAATGTTCAATGAGTACAAATGTTTGATTTCATAAAAAATTGACAGAAAATATCAAATATCAAAATCTTGACTAGCTGTTATCTGCTTTTAGAGCTCTTTACATGTCAGCCACTGAGCTTCAGCATCAAGCATCCAGTGAGCCTTCCAGATGTGATGGTAAGTGTTTGGACAAAAAGAGGGAGGGGGAAGACATGCAATTTTAATAACCAGTCCATGTTGTTTTTCCTTTTTCTTTCCCTGACACGAAAACATGAACAAATCAGGTTGTTAGTTTTTTACATACCAACGTAACCTTGGATATCAAACACATGACCAATCATTTTGTTCTGTATTATTTCACCCAACATGTGATATATTCTATTTTCTACCTTTTTGAAATCTCCCATCTGTTCCCAAGAATGAGGTGCTACAGTCAGTCAGGAAACATGTGAGTTCATTTGGAGGCATTCTGTGTCTCTAGTACCCTTTTCTATTGTATCTCACTTATGCAATGTGCAGCAACAGCTCATGTACGAGAAGTGTCTTGCTCGGAGGAAAGATGCAGAGCTGCGTGAGTAGAAGGATGCTTGACAGACAGAAAGGAGAGAGCTCTGCAGCAGGATCCCCTCAGTGCTGCTGAACATAAAACTGCGTGACTGGTCTCTGCAAACAGAAGGGAGGAGAGAAGGGAGAAAGGCAGGGAAGAAAGCAGGGGGAGGGGAGGCAGCTCAGTTCAGTGCGGTGCTGTAGCTGAGTGGATGAGGCAGCAGCATCAGCACCACTAGCTGTAGCATCCTCTCCCTTTGTGGAGGTGTGGGGAGGGGGGGGCTGTCTTTTAGCTGCTGCAGGATCAACATTCTCTGCATACACAGAACTATCTGCTCACCTCGTCACACACTCACACACACATGTCGTGGTGGCAAGACAGGAGGAGGAGGTAGTGGTAAGTGACGGGGGAAGCTCAGGGGACAGAGGGACGCAGGGAGAGGAAACAGGGAACAGTGGGAACCTGAGGAGGGCTGGAGCGACGGCAACTTCAGCAGCAGCAGCAGCAGTAGCAGCGGCACCATGGCACAAGCTGCCAAGCAGCTCCGCAAGACCAAGGACCTCGCAGAGGCCGCCGCCCAGGAGCAGAGGGAGAAGGAGGAGAAGAAGATCAAAAAGAGGAATCGATCAAGAGACCGCAGGCGCAAGGTATGGATATTCTGTCTCAGGAGGCATCCTCATATCCATCTCTCCCATCATACCTGCCGTTTTCCCCCCCTCACAGGGACTGTCACACTTCAAACATTGGGTATGATTGGTTGGAACGCATTTACACACGTATAATTACACAGTTGGATTTGTAGCCTCAGTTGGCATATGTGTGTCTATGCGTGTTTGTGTGTGTGGATGTGTGTGTATAGAACCAGTCAAGCATTGATGCTGGGTGCAGGTTTTGTCTGCTCTGTCAGATATTTGGCCATCGGGGGAAAAGGCTCTTAATACAACTGGGTATGTGACTAATATGTGCTGCTGGTTAAATAACTCACTACACCATTTGTTTCTTTTACCTGAAAACCCTTGCAGTAGGTGCAGCTCATTCATGTTAATGAGATCTACTATTGTACATGCATGTACAAATAACGTTTTCTTGCATGTAACCCAAAACAAGCTTTACTTGTTTTAAAAAAAGATTTGCCTTTGTTAGATTTACTGTCTTCCCCCATATTGTATGGTTTTTTTCTCACTGGTAGAAAATGGAGGGGGAAGATGGAGGTACAGTCTAATAATAGATGCAGTTTTAGTGCATTTGTGCATCTTTTAGGACTGCAGGAATTATTTTGGGGGAAAATATAACGAATGCTGATAATTTAACATCATGATTCACTGGCAAAAACTACATGTATAGATCATATCACAAAAGTGTAAAATCTCATTCACCCCCACATGCACTCTTCTACTCTTGCTGTGCCATTAACTACAGCTTTGATTAGGGTTGTGCCACCTCTCACTCATGGTTGGGTGTTTTTTAATTATATTTCTAATAAAAGTTTGCTGTTTCTTTTTAAAAAAAGAAATATTATTGTGGATGCAATTTTGTTCTGTTTTAGGTGGAGGATGTTTAAGAAAACCTGACAAAAACTAGCATGTATAGTTAAAAAAAAAAAAAAACATCCATTTTTATTTCTATTCTGTAACTTAAAGGTGTAGATGGTGATTTTTCTAAAAAAAAAAAAAAAAAAAAAAAAAAAAAAACAGGTTAGGATTATACAATATAGTGAAAGTTTTCATTCATTCCCTATTCATTCCCTATTCATTCCCTATTATAGTCTCATTTTAAACTGTATAAGTGTATATAAGCTCTACACAAAATAAACCATAATGAATAAATTATTTTGTTAGAAAGTATTAAATATATAATATACAATAGATCTATAATATATTATATTTATAATAGTAATTATTAAATATAATAAAATTAATGACATGATTTCAAGCACAACTGTAGGTTTAATTTTTGTCACAAAGTTCAAACCTACCGGTGGTCGACATTTATTCAAATGATCATTCTTGAGACATTTTCAGAGTTTAAATTAAGATTAATGTTCGGTAGCTTTATTGGATTGGACATATTCAGAAAAAGCACACATCTATATAAGGTCACAATGTAGATATTCATGTCTTAGGCTACAACTCTTGGATAGAATACAACAAAAATGTTCAATTTCTTTCCTGAAAAAAAGCAGAAGCAACTGAACCTAACAGCAGAAACATGGCTCAAATGTTATGGATTAGCAGAATTAGTAGCATTGAATATAACAGTGGGCATACTTACCTTACTTAGTGGAGGGATTGATTGTTTAATATTTAGTAGATCACTAGCCTTTTAGGCCCTTCATGTTGGAAATATTCTTCCTACTCCTCCTCCTTTCCCAGAATAGCTGGGAATCCTTAAATTTTGATAAATAGGGGGAGTTGCCTCATTTATGCTCACATAATCCTCTTCCTGCAGCCAAGTTTCTGTAAGACAATACAAATCAATTTGATCATCACAAATCAAGTCATTAACTAACAAATTGCTTTAAGAAAGAGATCTTAGGTTAAATTAAACACATGTAATTGTTTTTACTTTTTCCCCAATTGCAGTTACTTTAATTTGAATTAGATTGTCATGATGTACTATTTTTGGATTATTTTCTAATTTATTAGATTTTTTTCATGAACATGAATATTTTACCATATGAGTCAGAAGGCTTTGGTGAAAAAGAATGGTAACCTTCATGTTTCTACATGAAAGCTTATGTTTCTAAAATGTTTGTTGCCATGGTGACAATGTAAGCCAGTGGGTCATTTTCATTAACTTCATTTTGAGAATTGACTGCTTCATTACACCTAAACAAAGCTTCGTACATGGCAATATTGACAAAATTCCTTCAATATGATAGCTAGGAAGGTCTGAAGATGAACTTCCACAGGTATCAAATGGTTTGGGAGAGGAAGCTGTTTGAAAACATGTGTCCTTTGAGATTTCCAATTTTAGATTTTATGTTATTTCTGTGTTGAATTTTATTGAGGGCATGTTAAAAAAGTAAAAGAGCTACAGTATCTAAATAATTCTTTATCAGGGAGCATCAGCAAGGTTCAGTCAACAATTAGTGTTAATTTTACATTTCTACAAAATTCTATCTAGGCGTGCCGATGTAAAAAGTGTGTCATTTTCAGAAACTTGACTTTAAGGGATTGATGGATTTAGTGCCCATAAACAAACCTTTCTGCAGGTAAAACCATAAAAGACACTGACTGATATCCTTTAATGAAGTGCTAGGAAGGTCTAGAAATTTCCACAAGGCTAATTCTTGCCCATAGAATGGTGTTTCGATAGGGAGATATTTGAAAAAATGTAATTTTGGGGATTTCAAGTCTCTGGGAGACTCTCCAATCATTGGAAACACTGAAGTATTCATTGGCTCTACTGGAAAGAATGTAGGGGCATTCAGGTAGTATAGACTCTACTTCTTATTTACTTACTTCCTGCATAAAACTGATCACTTGCTCAGGATGCTAAAATTCTTTTCAGACTAAGCAGAGGAAATCAATGCAGATATGCCAGCCATACCTTTCACTCCTCTCTTTCCTGCAGTATTATATTTAAATTATACAGTTATATTTATAACTGTATAATAGTTGTTCCTGCAATTTGTCATGTACAGTAGCATTAGTACTGAAATATACCTTCAAAATAGCCTTTTTATTTGACCCTTTATGACTGACGCATCATTTGATGAGCAGATTGACATCTCAGTAGTTCAGTATCAATGCATCTATAAGCCTGTAGCTTATTTTTACTAAATGTACTTCAGGTTGGGAGGTTCCTGCGCTGTTTCTGTGGATGTGACGTCAAGCTCATTCATGTTAAATTGGTCTAAGCTAGCAAACAATCAAAGCATTATTCAGGGTGGATTTTGTGAATACTCATAAACAACAGGCATCCAGGTCAACTCAAACAACAATGGCAACTGCAATTAAGATAAAAAAAAAAAGTAAAAAAAAAAGAAAAAAAAAAGAAAAACCCTTGTCAAGTATAAGCACATGCTAAAAGAACGGGCAGACTGTTGCAACTTGGTGTTTCAACCACTGATGACAGTATCATTGGTAATTCTGTAATGCCTCTGTAATAAAACATTTTGAAAAAATAAATGAAAAATTGTCAAAATTATTTTTCAAGCTTTCTTATATAAAAAAGAAACAACCTTAAAATTATTCTTAGTATTTAGACCCTTTTTCTTTTGCTTATTAAGAAGAAAATACATTTTTAGAGAAACCTTCAATTTGCCATAAACCAAAGAAGTGACACAAAAGACATGGAAGAAGGTGAACTGGTCAGATGGAACCAATAAGCTATGTGTGACAACATCAACATTACACCCTATCCTGAACTCATCATCACCACAATAACAGCATTTAAAGGTACACTATGCAACCGGTGTTGATTTTCCAGNCTTATTTTTCCAAAATGTACTTCAGGTTGGGAGGTTCCTGCGCTGTTTCTGTGGATGTGACGTCAAGCTCATTCATGTTAAATTGGTCTAAGCTAGCAAACAATCAAAGCATTATTCAGGGTGGATTTTGTGAATACTTATAAGCAACAGGCATCCAGTTCAACTCAAACAACAATGGCAACTGCAATTAAGACAAAAAAAAAGTAAAATAAAAAAAAAAAGAAAAACCCCTGTCAAGTATAAGCACATGCTAATAGAACGGGCAGACTGTTGCAACCTAGTGTTTCAACCACTGATGACAGTATCATTAGAAAACTCTGTAAATCTCTATAATACAACATTTTGAAAAAATAAATGAAAAATTATCAACATTATTTTTCAAGATTTCTTATATAAAAACAGAAAAAAATCTTAAAGGATTATTAGAATTTAGACACTTTTTCGTTTGCCTATTAGGAAGAAAATACCTTTTGAAAGAAACCTTCAATTTGCCATAAGCCAAAGAAGTGACACAAAAGACATGGAAGAAGGTAAACTGGTCAGATGGAAACAATAGGCTATGTGTGACAACATCAACATTACACCGTATCCTGAACTCATCATCGCCACAATAATAGCATTTAAGGGGCATAATTATGCTGCAGGGATGCTTTTTATTCAATAGGAATAAGCAAGATGTTCAGAATTGATATGGAGATGGATAAGGGGACTTTTAGAGAAATATGGTAAAAAACATCCAAATTATAGATTTTGAAGAAACCTTTAAAAGCACATTAGGTCGACCCTTACCATGACAGTTTCAAACATTCAGACAGAGCTAAAATTAAGTCAGTCAATGAAGATTTAAGCATGACCAAGTATTAAAATGACCCACACCTAAACTTTTTTTTTTTCACATACACAAGCAAACATACAGAGCTGAATATGAGAATATAAAAATTTAGAATAAAGAAATGCAAGCTGTATAAGAAAAGCACCATGGCAATTATGAAATAACAGTATAACGTTAGATTAAATATTACACACACAGGTTTGCTTAGATGTTTATTTTTTACCTTTTTATAAACTATGGTATTGTCTGATTTTCATGGAGTCTGCGAGTCAGTCTGAGCTATATTTATCGGTCTTGATCTCACAGAGACATAATGTAGCTCAAAAATACTTCCAGTTTCAATTGCAATGAAAGTTTGGCCTATGCGGTAAATTGCTGAC